GAGAAACTGGAGTGTTGTGCAGACTGGAGAGATGAGAGGCGAAGGGCGGAGAAGACTGGCGTGCGGCGGTTATGTGGGAGAACTGATTTGGAGGTTGGAGAAAGAGGGAGAAGAGAGAGAAAGCGAGTTGAGTTGACACGAGAGCGTTGGGGACTGCGCGGAGACGAGAAGAAGGAAGACATGTGGCTCGGATGCTATGTGAGAGGAGAACAGGAGAGAGAGATAGACGAGACGAGACAGGACGAGAGGAACGAGAGAGAGAGAGGGAACGCAGATCGCCAGACGAGAGAGAGAGCTCGGGGAGAGGAGAGTGGAGAAAGAGAGAGGAAAAAAGAACAAGTAGAGAGCGAGAGAGAACAGACAAAGAGAGGACGAGGGAGGAGAAAGTGAAGAGGGGGAGAGAAACGGGGTGAGAGCGGGGGAATCAGGCGAAAACGTGAAAGGAAGGAGAAATAGAAGGATAGACGAGGATGGAAGAGATGAAGGAGGCGGATGGTGGAGAGGGAGAGATGTTGGCGGAGAGAGGAAGAGGGAGAAAGAGGGAGGGAGTGGATGGGGAAGGAGACAGCTGGTGGCAAGGGACAGGGGGAGGAGAGTGGCGGGAGACCCGAGGGGATGGAGGGAGAAGGCAAAGAAGAGAGAAAGAAAGAGAGAAAGAATTTCTAGGCATCTAGAATTAACTTTGAAATCACTATTTTTCTTGCTATTAATTTTACGCCCATTCTAGAGTGAACATTATTTCTGTAATATATTACTTATTAGCTAACCGAAAGACACTACAACTGTATGTATTGTATATTATACATGACAGCTTTAGCAGAGAGAACTCTTTCAATCACCACAAACAATTTATTGTTGCTTTAAAATTTTTATAGCTATTTTTGTTTTTTGAATAAACATAAAAATTTTATATTATTTTAATCTTTTAATGTTACTAACGATTTTTGGAACGTTTTTCACAAAAATCTACCCTTGGAGCTGAGCTCATGGCCCTGCGATCAGAAGAATAAGAGCGGAAGGGGGAAAAGGGACGCTGGTGGAGGCAGGACGGTGAGAGAGTACGAGACTACATTCTCCTGTGGACAAGAAGGGAGGACTATGTTGGAGGAAGGGCGAGAAATTGTCCTAGTGAACTGGAGGGACAGCGAGTAGAGAACAGAATGCTGGTGGATGAAGGAGAAGGGGAGAAAGATGGAGTGTGGTGCGATGGAGGCATGGGAGAAGCTGGTGACGAGGGGAGGGTATGGCGTGAGAAGCTGCTGGTTGGAGGAAGGGAGAAAGGGGAGGAGCGGGGATGAAGGAAGCTGTGTGGAGAGGAGGGACGAGAAGAGTAGAAGCTGGTGGAGAAGGAGGAGGCGGAGAAGTTGTTCCGTTAGCTCCACCAGCCTTCTTCCTCCTTCTCCATCAGCTTCTCCCTTCTCCCCTCTTCTCTAACCAGCTTCTCCCCCCTCCTTAGTTCTCCCATCCCTCTCCCTCCCACTACTCCATCCCCTTCTTCCCCTCCTGGCGAACCCGCCCATTCTCCTCGCTCTTCCTGCCTTTCTTAACTACCATCCCAAAGCCCAGATACTTCCATCCCTTCCTCCTCCTTCCTCCTCTACCGCCTCCCTTACCCTATTCACCTTCTCCCCCTCTTCCTTTCTCGCCTACCATCTCCCTACTCCATCACCTTCTGCCTCCTCTTTCCCACCATACATTTCTCTATCTCTGCGTCTGCCCCATACCATCCTTCTTCTCCTCCTCCAATAAAAAAAAATAACCTTCCTTCCCTTCTCCATCCCTTGGAAGAAATCAACCTGACAATTAAAGATCAGAATGTAGACAAGGTGACAGGAGGGAAAAAAAGGATCAAGAGGAGAATTTTAAGGCAACGGAGAACATAGACATGCCACAGAGAGTAGAAAGGGAAAAAAGAAAAGAGGCGAAAGAGGGCAGAGGCTCCGCTCCTCCCTCCGTCCAGGGTGAAGATCAATTGGCCGGTCCCCCCGCGATAAACTCATCTCATCTTCTCCCCTCCTCGCGTTTCGTTTACTCCTTCCTTCCTCCTTCTTCTTCCCCCCTCCTCCCTGTCTCCCATACTCCAACCCTTCTCTCCTCCTCCTCCCCACTACTCCCATCACCTTCCCTCTTCCTCACTCCTCCTCGCGACTACAACCTCCTCGCATCATTGTCTCTCCCTCTGCAGCTCCTAGCGCTAGCCACGCCAGTAACTGTGCCAATCGACCTTCCTCTCCTCCTCGCTCTCGGCTGATCACCTTCACCTCTCACTCCTGCTCCTCCCATCCTCCATCCTGACTTCTCTCCTCTCCTCCTCACTAACTCTCAATCATCACAGTCTTAGATGATGATGAACGACACGTGCATCTAACCAAGTACAACTGCACCCTCCTAACCTCCGGCTAGTAGCGATCCATCAGCCATAGGTGACGAGATGCCCGTACGTCAGTCGGTGAGCACCTCGCGTGACTCGTGCAGACTGCAACGCTTTCTGCTCGCACTACACTGCGTGACTTTCCATCCTTTTTCCTACACCTCCGTCCGACTCATCGTATCTCACGCCCTTCCTCCGTCCCTGAATGCCTATCCATTGCTCACCTTCTCTATCTCTCCTACCTGGCCTTCCTCCTCCTTACCTGGCCTCCTCCAAACACTCTTCTTCACTCGTCCTCCGTTCCCAAGTTAGACTCTCACCCTACCAGGAAGTCGCTGGATCAAACCTCTCTCTCCTACCTCCTTTGGAGTAACTCTCCCTCCTTCCTCCTTCCTCCTCCTCTTCCTCCCCCCTCCATCAACCTTCTCGCCTCCTCCTTCCTCTACCTGCCTCACTCTCCTAAACTCCCTTCCTCCCTCTGGTCTCCTCTTTTCCCCTGCCCTCCTCCATCACCTTCCACCTCCCTCTCCATATCTCCTTACATGACCTCCTTCTCCCTTCTTCTCCTCACCATTCCCACTCTCCTCCTCCCTCCACGCCTCCTCCATCACCTTCTCTCCTCCTCCTTCCTCCTCCTCCTCCTCCTCCATCACCTCCTCCCGCTCCTCCTCCTCACTCCTCTCCTCCTAACCTCCTATGGGCAGCCGGCGTTTAAGATATATATCAGTGCGCCACCTTCTGTCGCGAAACAATTCACAGACCGGTCTGAGATACCCCCGTCTGTATGAATATTACCACCTATGGCACACAGGATATAATTCTTTGCAGGGGGTAATTCAGGACTGGGGGTAATCTCAGACCCGCTGACACCCGGTCTGAGATATACCCCAGTCTGAATTTACCCCACCTATGGTGCACACAGTCGATATTAATTTGCAGTTGGTAATTTCAGACTGGCGGCAATCTCAGACCGTGACCCGTCTGAGATACCCCAGTTTCCTTGAATTTACCCATCCTACCTGCCAGATTAATCTCCAGACCTGTGGCCGCGGCAGTCTCATTATCCAGCGTTTACTTGCCGCCATGCCCGGTCACGCGATGCGCACGAGGCTGCTAGGGGTAATTTCAGAGCTGGGGGTAATCTCAGCACCGTGATACCGGCTGCGGGCATTTCTATAGCTCATGTGTTTGTTATATAGTAAGCTACAGTTGTATGCAGTAAATCCTTTAGAGGCTACTGCTCCCTTTAAGTTGAGGCGGGAAATATGCCCCTCCGTTTTAACATCTTGACCTTTAACCCTTGACCCCTAAATTTGTCATCGCTGAAGTCTTTTCACGACGCGCCCCCCCCCCGACTTTGTGTACCGTACGTCGATGCGGTTAAGCATTTGTACCCCACGTTCACGGTACAAGCTGCATCTGACTACTGGGCAGATGGATTTTGCCACAAGGGAGGAATTTACTCCCTGACGGCCATCTTTTGAATAATGACGAAATCTCGGGTGCCTACTTAAACAGCGAAATGTGCTACTCTAACAGCAAAAATGCTGCAGGAATCGTGCGCGGAATGTCTGTGCGCACCCCCCCCCCCCCCCCCCCCTATGTATAAAAAATGTTTAGTAAAAAATGTTATTACCTTAAACAGCGAAATGTGCTACTAAACAACGGATATCGTGTCTATTTTTGATTTTCTTTCTTACGCGGGAATGGGTAAGGAATTGTGGCGCAATGCTGCACATATGAACTGCTCCGCAATGTATCAAAAATGTGTAAAAAAAATGTTATTTACCTAAACACCGGAATGTGCCTATAAACAGCGAAATGTGCTACTAAACAGCCGGAATTCGGTGCGCGGACATGCTGGTAAGGAAGTTGGCCGCAATCGCTGCATCCAATAACTGCCCGCAATGTATCAAAAAAAAAATTTTGTTGTTTAAAAAAAAAAAAAAAAATGTTAGTACTTTAAACAGCGAAATGTTGCTTACTAAACAGCGGGAATACATGCGGCGGAATGGGTAAGAATGTGGCGCAATTGCAAGATATTCTATAAACAACTATTTTCAATAGCGCTTGCATTTGGATGTTCATTTGTTGCATTAAACCTCGTTCCTAACAAATCAATGTTTTTAACCTCGTCTGACAAAGTTGTATGGAATTCCTGGAACGAGGTTGGGAGGAATGTCTCCCCGGCGACCAAGCTACGGCAGATGAGCTAAAAACCGATTGACAACACTAGTGATTAGTCACCCGAGGCCAGTCCCTGTCACCGAATCTGCCGGTGTAATTTCTTATAAATAAGCATGGCTGAATTTGCTTCATTACAACATATCACACAGGTTTTGATTTTTTTTTAATTATGCAAATTAGGTAGATTTTGGCAATTTCACTATACATTTCAGTGTCTGCCTACGGTCAACGATAACTCAAGAACCGTTTGACCCACATGTTTCAAATTGCATGCAGTTGTTACTCCTATGGAAGAGATTTGAACGTCCTGTTTTGGAAAGTGAATGTGTTAGGCTAGCCCCAAAACAGTTGTTACTCCTATGGGAGAGATGACAACGTTCTATTACAGTTATTTCGTCTAACTGGTTAACAACTCTACAATCATACCTATTAGGGCTGTAACGATCCACCGAAATCGAATCGGATCGCGATTCTCTTCCCTCGACGGACATGCGGCCCCCGTTATTGCGCGCAGCGCACAGCTCGCGGCGATGCCGCGCCCCCACAACACATACGCCGCCCCCTTTTTGTCCATTTAGACAGATACCTTAGACAGGGGTCTGAAAACGAACTCCGCGAAAACTGGGCACAATCAAACGGACCCTAAACTTTTTTGGGTGTGGCGCGCCTCATGGCTAAGACGTAGTGGCTCCTACAAGAAACCTCAAGAAATGCTGTCACTCAGCGACCACGCGCTCGCTCATTCGCCGCTACGCGATGACGTGGGCTACTGCCGAATATAGCGTCACGTCTATCACAGAGCTTTTAACGTCGACGCGTACGGCGCTCCACGTGGGCTGGCGCGGTCTAGATGCTATCTGCAAAACCGCCGCCGCGGCGGCGCCCCTGGCTGCGTACGTGGCATGTTTCGACCAACCTGACCCCGTGCTGCCCGTGGCGACGGCATGTCGTGCGAGCACCTGCGCTGGCGTGGCCGGCGTGGCTGGCGTGGCAAACCAGCAGCAGCATCAAATACTGGTCCCTGCTAGCTGCTGCAGTGCAGCTCTAGAGCAGCAAAGCAGCAGCAGCAGGAAATGCCCTCCCCCCAAGGCCGCCGTAGTCAAGCCGGTGTACGTCTGACGAAAACTGCGCGATGTTACGCTTCCCGCTATACGGATTCGTATAGCGGGCAGCGCGAGATGCTACATGTGTACAACACCCTGCGGTCTCGTGCGCCCAGTCCCGCGGAAGTGCGCGGCTTAACCGCTCTCGGCGGTCGGGTAACAACGCATCTTTTGTGCAACGTCATCTTGTACACGGTCTCTCTGGATCCGATCCTCGATATTTTTCCCTGTATTTTCGATTTCACTTCGATACCACTTTTTCCCTCCAATAGATGGCAGCACTACGCTATATACTGTGGAGTGTTACTCACCAAACAATAAACTTTTTAGCGTTATTTTGCATGACTCACTCCGCATATTTTACTTTTGGTGATTGTTATCGAACATGTCGAAGAGAACGCGTATCCTAGGAGAAGGTATATAGAGAATAGGAAATGGTAAACCGTAAAGCCAGCGAATGTATGTAAATTGGAGGAAGATGAGAAAGGAGCAGGGAGGAAAGAGGGCAATAGGGAGAAGGTAGAGGAGATAGATGATGAATGAGAAATTGGGCTATAGAAGGCTGAAGGTGGAGAGGGAGAGAGCATTAACAGGTTGAAGGGTGGCTCGGAAAGACAGAGCAGATTGGTGCAGGGGGAGAGGAGAATTACTCCAGTGTCACCTTCCTTTATTCTACTTCCTCTATACTGTGTTTGCTACCTCTACCCCATTCCTCTCTATCACCTTAATTATCTTCCTGTATGCACTACCTCCTCGACCATCTCCTACCATCTCTCCTAGCTCCTCTACCTTTGTCTTTCTTTTGCCTTCTTCCCATCTTCTACTTACTTCAGTTTCCCCACCTGCTCTGCTCTACTCTCACCTTTTCCTAACCGTTTCCCCCATTCTTCACCCTCTGCCCTCCTTTCCTCTTTTCTTTTTTCCCTTTCTACCTCCTGTGGCATGTCTATGTTCTCCGTTGCCTTAATTCCTCTTGATCCTTTTTTCCCTCCTTCACCTTGTCTACATTCTTGATCCTTTAATTGTCAGAGGTTTGATTTCCCGTTTTTTGGCGGAATTCTGCTTTTTTAACAGCCCCAGGTCGATTTTGTGAAACGTCCAAATTTGTAATTAAAATTAAAATAAAAATTTTTTTTTATTAAAAAACAAAAATAGCTATAAAAATTTTAAAGCACAAATACATTGTTTGTGGTGATTGAAAGAGTTCTCTGCTAAAAGCTGTCATGTATAATATACAATACATACAGTTGTAGTGTCTTTCGGTTAGCTAATAAGTAATATATTACAGAAATAATGTTCACTCTAGAATGGGGCTAAAATTAATAGCAAGAAAATAGTGATTTCAAAGTTAATTCTAGATGCCTAGAAATTCTTTCTCTCTTTCTTTCTCTCTCTCTCTCTCTCTCTCTCTCTCTCTCTCTCTCTCTCTCTGTCTCTCTCTTCTTCTCTCTCTCTCTCTCCTCTCGCTCTCTCTCTTCATCTCTCTCTCTCTCTCTCTCTCTCTCTCTCTCTCTCTCTCTCTCTCTCTCTCTCTCTCTCTCTCTCTCTCTCTCTCTCTCTCTCTCTCTCTCTCTCTCTCTCTCTCTCTCTCTCTCTCTCTCTTGCTCTCTTGCTTTCTTGCTCTTTCTCTCTCTCTCCCTCTCTGCCATGTCTGTTGTAATTAACATTTTTATCTTTTAAATTAACAGTAATTAAAGTTTAAATTAATGGTAAATTTTGTGACATAGAGACTTATCGATAGTTTTCCCACTATGCATTGCACAGCGCTACTCATTTTCGGCCAATAAAATTTGATTTGACTCTTCCCATGCATAGTTACTCTCAGATGACTATCAGGATCACTCAGATTCAGATGAGCATGCCAAAAATCACCAAATAACACCAACCAGCTTCAACAACCTAATTATTCTATTTATAGCTACTAAAATATGCATATAAGATGCATGTTTCAAATGGTCAAAATATTTTTGGTGTGGCGAAAAGTCTTACTGTCTTGTAAAAAATGCAACTACAGTACCGAATGTAATGCGAAAATAAAATTTATTGGCGACCCCTGCAACACAGTACTTTTGACAGCCTTTATATATATATATATATATATATCTAAATGTACTTATATGCAGGTTATTCTCGTGGAAGGATCAGCACACCTAGGTGGGTGGATAAAAAGCAAAAGGTATGATGATGGCACTGTATATGAATTGGGACCACGAAGCATTCGTCCGGCTAACAAACAAGGATTCAACACATTAGAAATGGTATTCCCATTATTATGTAAAATCTTTTAATTTTTTACTGAATAGATTATGTATGTTGGAAGCTTAGAACTATTTGTAAATATTAACTCGTTGCATCTAAAGTTAAACACTTAAGGGTGTAATTTTCAGCATGCATCTTGAGGTTGAACCATAAAACAAGCAATTTTAAGAGCAAAACAGGCACTGGTATTTTTTTCAACTCCGTGTTTAATGTTTGTAGTCATTTTCCAGTAATATTGAACATAAAACATTGGTATGTAATCCAGGTAAACGCTAACTGAAAATACCACCGAAAGTTTATGTAGTATTGTTCTCTGAACCATGTCTGCTAAATATAGGTGGAGGATTTAGGCTTATCTAGCAAGGTTCTGCCAGTACTGACGGACCATGTTGCCAGCAACAATCGGTTCATATACGTTGATGGCAAGCTTGCTATGCTTCCGACACCTAAAGCGCTGTTCAGGTGGGTGGCCTTTAACTTTTAAGTCTAAGATATAATCGGGTAATGTGTGCAAGTAATGAATATAGGCAAGAAACATGGTTATATTATATATAGGGTGTTTAACATTGTTGGTACAATTGATCCCCTGCACTGACCTAATCACCTGTTATGAGGATGGTTATCTAGTGATCTGTAGCTTTTGCAGTTTCTTTTATTTATTATTTCTGTAAAATATCTTACTTCTTTCTTTACTGATAAGCATGTGACATCTTGTTGGATTTTATTCCATTTTGTATAAATGGTAGCTTTACCTACATAATCCCATGGTTCTTCTATAAGCTGAATGCTAAGATTCCTTATTCATTGATTGAAAACTACTGAACTTGTTTTAAAATTAACTCACAAGATGATTGAAATGCTTTAGTCATTGGTCATATATTGGACCAATCTGATAGCAACTGAAACCAAAGTCTATCTACTTTGTATTGGTTCTTGTGGGTATGTTTATTCTTTGTTCACTTAGGTCCAGTCCTCTTCTTAACCAGAGTCTTGCGAGCATGCTTTGGAAAGAATTGTTCACTAAGAGCATAAAGGTTGAAGACGAAACTGCAGATTCATTTATTACAAGAAGATTTAGCAAAAAGGTTTGTATAGTGTAGACACGTGATTAATTTTATATGATAGTTTATTTATGGCAGCTATATTGTAACCCCTTGTTCCTATGGTATTTGTGCTCTAGTTGCAAATTTACATATGTACATAATTATATTTGAAATAAGTTTTAAAGAATGGAGCTCTTTCATATAGCGACAATTCACTTGTAATCGGCAACCACCAGACAAAAGTGCATCTCATTGAGTGACATAGTGGTTCTAGACGGGTACACCATCTCTATTGCCTAATTCAAGCTTACCATGTCAAAGTACAGGGATGCAGTCTCGGTAGAAAAAAGGGGCATCGTCAAGTAACCACCTCAACACGATGTATACAAACATATTTCAATTGTTGTATATTTTGTGTGGAAATAAGCCGTACAAGTGTTCTAAGTCATGTTAGCCTTACGTTAGACTCCAATACCTATAATGGTACACTATTGAGTTCATCTGAATAGTCGTAGCAGACATAATTGCTTCAACAAAGAGAATGACTGATTTATGTTTGAGAAAGCTTCTTGCAATGTTTTTCAGGCTGCAATGTACCTAGCTGATCCAATGTGTCAGGGTGTATTCGCAGGCAAGTCAACTGAGTTGAGTGCAAGGTCATGTTTTTCTGATGTCTTTAAAGCAGAACAAGAGTACGGGTCGATCGTTAAAGGAATGTTCAAGTCGGCAAGGTGTAAGTGTGTAATTTTGAACATTCTTATCTATACCTTTATTCACATGAAACCATTGCTAGCTAAATTTCAAAGTTATGAAATTGTCTCATTCTAAAACCTCTCGAAACTTTTACCTAATGAGTTTTTCTGTGAAAATTGAAAAACAATGTAGTACTTTTTCACATTGTGCATTATTAGTGTACCTACTAATTAGACGTGCTTTCATGGACATAGTAAAACGACACATAGTCAATAGGTACCAATAATATGGATTTTGAAGATAAAAGTTTGAACAGATACAGTTTTCTGTGGGTGTGTAACCATCATTTTAAGTAGGCAAATTTCCTTAACCTGTTTCTGGTGCAAAACTAAACTGCAAGACAAACGTTTGTGTTGTTGTTGCATGATGAGTGTATGCATACTTTACTGCAGATTGAAAATAAATGTTAATTAAAATTTAATAGATGTAGTTCTTTCATTCTAGTAAAAAAAGACAGTGCAAAAAGTCAACTGGGTATGCTGGCCAAGCAGCAACGCTGGACCATGTGGTCATTGCAGGACGGTTTGCAGACACTCTCTGATTCCCTCACTGATACGCTCAGTGAATCGGAGCACATCATGGTACAGAGTCAGGAACCGTGCACGGCATTGGGTTTTCAGAATGGAAAGATAGTCGTCGAGACTCCAAATCTAAAAATAGAAGCTAATCACGTATTTTCAGCACTTCCTGCCAAAGGTATACATGTTGGTATCGTTAATACAGTACACTTTTATAAGGCTGTCACTCAAGTAGCTGAACATCAAGCAGTGCTGGTTGTAAGGTTGAAGAAAGAAGCTTCCACCTCATGTTCCCTTTCTGTTTTAAATAAACGACTTCATAAGGACTGTTTTAGTTTGTCATTACAGGAAGATATCTAAGCCTGTAAGTTGGCAGCAGTGACTTCTAATGGTCTTCTGCTCTATGCAATGGTCTTTTCACTTGATATGGTATGGAGAAAAATGGGCATTTTTGGTCTGTAATCATGTCTTTGCAAATCATAATAATAAATTTGATAATATAAATAATATGATATATTTTGCAGATATTTCCAAGCTTTTGTATCCAAACCACCAAGATCTTGCTCAGATATTAGGTAGGATACAGTCATGTACAGTGGGAGTGGTCAACCTTGAGTATAAGGGAAGGCCAGTAAAAACTGAGGTGTGTAGTTGTTTCCTACATTCATTTCTATTTTGTTAAATTTTTCTGCTGTGCTGTGGAGTGACCGCAAGTATAGTAGAGTCTGGCATATATGTAGCTTTATTGGTATGTGTAAATTTATCCTTGTGCATATTGATTTCATATGGTAATTTGTGTAATTTGCATGATAACTTTAATATCTCACAGGGATTTGGGTACTTGATACCTTCTAGTGAAAAGGCCAAAATTTTGGGTGTTGTGTTTGACTCCTGCGCCTTCCCCCAACTTGACCGGAATGATGGCGAATATTCACGGTTTTCGGTAAGTATTCATTTTACAGATCTAATCTGTCGTTCCGCATGCCCAAGTTCTAAGTTTTATGTGAAGTTTGTCTAAAAACACTATCATCCCTAAACACAAGCTACTCTTAACGTGTCACATACAAGTCTCTACTTATCACCAATAAACGTGATCATTTACAAATATAAATCTCGTGAAATTCATTTTAAGAGTGGTCTAAAGTAAGCTATGTTAATTTTGCAGTGCCTAATGGGAGGTGCGTGGTTCGAGGAGCTGTATGGTAATGCAGACAGTGTGGATCCAAACACACTGCTGGATGTAGCAGTCGAATCTATGCGAAATCACCTGGGTGTAACAGTGAATCCTGTTAGATCAAATGTCACAATAAATAAGGTAGGCTCCTCTGTGTCATTGGTGATTTTTTCAGTGTTGCAGTCGTGTAGCTAGTAAGGTCATTGTGGTCATTAGTTTGATTTGATATGTATCCCTAGCTCCTCTACCCTGTCAGATTATTATATTATTGTAACATTGAAAAATTCACGAGTATATGTGGTGTGGAACATTTGCAGAAGCATAGCCGTGATTCTGTTTCACACTATGAATTATATCGTATCAAGAGCTAATAATACCTTATTAGCTCTTGATCGTATTTATCTTTATCTCGTTGCTAAGTTATATGTGTTATTACTCTTCAGAACTGCATCCCTCAGTACTACGTTGGTCACCACAATATAGTCAGCAGCAGCAGACAATACATTACACAGAATCGGCTGCCAATAAGTTTGCTTGGAGCATCGTATGATGGCGCTAGCATCAATGACTGCATTTACAATGCTAGAAAGGAAGTTGAAGCTGTGGTAGGAGTAAAGAATACCAGCTAAAGTTCTAGTGAAATCAGGTGGTTACTAACCAGTAGCTTGTGCACAAATACAGTTGTTATTTTGTGTTAAATGTGTTGTCAGTAGTCAAGCAAGTTTGGTGTAGCCGTGTAGATCACAGAGTGAGAATGATAATTTTTTGGCTTCATGAATAATCATGTTTAATTATCCCTGCCAGAATTGAACTGCAAACCAAACTTTCTGTCATGGTTTTAACTTTTTGGAATAACTGATGTCTCAATCTACGATGAAAAATTTCAGTTTTAGAAATTTCTAGAGGTTACATTTAATGAGATAATGTAAACCCTCAATATGCAAGTAAAGTTTGTATAATATTAATAAAAATAACTCAATTTAGTATGGTTACATATACATGGTACATGTACGTATATGGCTACATATTACTCACCTAACACGATTTGTATTTGTAATATTTCGATTATTAGACTGCGGGGTGAACCCCCAAATTATGTTTTTTTGCGCCCACCAAGTGGCAATTACATAATATGCTCACATATTGTAATTAAATATATTTTAAAAGGTCTGTGAAACTCGTCAATAATAACATTTACGCAAGCAAGAGAAAAACGAAAAAAACTGAAAGAAAATAATTTATTTTGTGAGAAATATTATCCAATCAAAACGCACGTCTCATCCCGATTCCCAACTGTGTTGCTTTCTGCAACCAATCGCGCGTCTCCTTACGTTCCCATGTGAGAGTGAAACGATACCCATCCGCGAAGCGGACTACTTACACCGAGACGGTGATGACTCTCAATACAAATTCTACAGGTTATGTCGATCGCTTGAAAAGTGGTTAAGTTTTCAACTATAACAGTTCGAAGCAAACTTTTGTGTTTATCCGATATAGTATGTAAATAGAAGATCACAAGCTGTAGTTCATTAAATTTCGTGCACTTATTGTGAAAATGAAAATACAAATAGAACTATTTCATCTATCTCGAGTGAGCGGAAGAATCCATGTCAAATGTGAAAATAGGCCTATAATGTTTCCAAGCCCTTGTCACAAGCTCGATAGACATGCAGCGAACTGCAGCGTACCAGTTTATGTTTACGTCAGTGCACGTACTGCTCCCGATGCTCTTGTCACAAGCTCGATATACATGCAGCGAACTGTCGATGTCCCAGTCAACACCTGGCAGGGTTCAAACAAAAGGACATCACCTAACTGCCGATGTGAGGGGGGAGCCAATGTGTTTATCAGTCTTATCACTGACGAATTAACCATGCACGGGCACTGCCCCGTCTGTGACACGGCCTTCGCCAGGCTTCGTTAACGAGTGCAAATGGTTAGTGGACTCTACTAGTACTGTTCATCAAGACGCAGCGGACTGGGAAATAAGGGGCAGCTGCGTGAAATAGACTATATATACTGCGGCGGTTCGTACATATGCCACCCTGAGGAGGAACACTTTCTGTCACCTAGTCTTTTCTTTGGATCTGTGTGCTAGCTTTCATTATGGCGCACAGATCCACTATGTCATCTTTTCTTTTCCCTCTGCCGCACGCACTTCTCTTCTATGCGCGGCCAGTGCTCCATATTTGGCCATCTTCCATATCATTTCAATTACACTTGCATCACTTTCACTGGATTTATTGATTACCTTTGCTTTCTTACTTATAGTACATTCTGTCGCCATTCTTCACGTTACAAAGAACATGTAAACGTTAAATCATGATCCTTATCAATTTACTTCATGTTTGAGGATCAACCTACTGAAGCATTCGTGAAATGGTTATGAAAATGTATGAAAGCAACGATGTCTCGCTTGGTAGTCAGTTGGTAATTTTTTAATCTACATAATGATCAAGAGCAGATACTACTCTGTACGACTTTGTGGATTGGTAGACTCGATCAGCCAGATGCTGTTTTTCAGAGGCCGTGGATAAATTGCAAAATTATGATACATGTACTCGTGATGATCACCATGCATGTAGATCAGGTAGCTGCATGTATTTTATTGAACTTTTTTGAATATTGAAATATATTGGGAGAAGGAAAGAGCAGAGATCAAAAGACAATGGGAGAGAGCTATATAGAAGAAAAAAAGGGGTAGGGGTAAAGAGATGGAAAGCCAGGTGGAGACAGGGAAAGAAAGAGGTTGAGAAATGTGTAGACCGTGAGAGAAAAGGGGAGAGTTGAAGAGAGAGAGAAAAACAATCGTAGAAAGAGACGATTGGATTACTCTGGTAGATTTCACCTTAAAAGAGTGAATAAATATATGTATGTTCAAATTCAATTTTATTGTCCAGATGGAAATTTGTTTTCCTCACATTTTTACACAGATAACATAACCGTATATCAACACAACATATACCGCACATTTGCAGTAGCCTACACATATAATATTAATATATAGAAAAAAATTATTTTGTTTTATTTCCAAGCATTTTAAGATTTAAGAATTAAATTAAACATTAATGTATCCTATTTCTTTCTTTCTTCAATGACATGTTCTGGAAAGTACAAAAAATACTCTGCGTACATGTCCGATTATAAATACGGATCGAAGAAGGAACAAAAAATGTGTGTGTGTGTGTGTGTGTGTGTGTGTGTGTGTGTGTGTGTGTGTGTGTGTGTGTGTGCGCGCGCGCGTGCGTGTGTGCTAGCTGCGGCCTGCAGGACGTTACCGTTGCGCCACCTAGCTGTGGGACGTTACCGTTCAGAAATTAAAGTTCCACACTTTACGACTTTGTGTGTTTATTCCTTATATTTTTCCTCAGCTATGTGAACATTTCAGGTATTTGCCAGATGGTGGTCACAAAATTCAATAAATATAGCTCTTTTGGCTTGTTGCATTGCGGTCTATATGGTTTATTGACGCTTTAAAGTTGTAGTTGCTACATTGTCATCTTCAGTGCAAGATGTAGGTTAAATTTCTCGGAGATAATTTTAAGAAGATTGCTTACAAGCCAATCTATTTTTAAGCCAATCTAATTACAAAGTTATTTAATTGAATAAATATAGAAATAAAATAATATATATAACGAGTGAATTGTTTGTTTATATTCACTCCTGATAATAATGTTCATAAGCAACCGTGTACATAACAGCAAACCGCGGATACGAATATGTATGTTTAGCAACTACATTTCCCTTTTTTCTTGCCAGCCCCCTCTCTGAGTGTAATCCCTGAACTTTTGACATCGATGTCTTCATTGGCACATAGTTGCCTAGCCAACTCAAGTACGGCCTCTTCCACGTTTGATCCGTCTTTTGCACTCGTCTCAATGAAAAATGTGCCATGTTCCTGAAAATACAAGCTACTATATTAAACCTCGTGTAAGTCGGCCTGCCGTTGTAGACTGATCCGTTCACAGAGTAAGATGAGACATTTGCATAGAGTAACCATACGCTTGGCAATAGTGTTCTTTGATGGTGTTAACTGTCAGTGTTATGCCCATTTTGTTGAAAAAGTACATAGAAAAATTATACGTCTTATAATATATTATAATTAATGATGACATCGTCGTTACTTAGGAACAAGTAAGGTAATATAGTAAAATCAATATGTTTACCCGTGCCAATTGTTTGCCGTCTGCTTCCATCACAACATTGCTCCCTTTCTGAATCAGGGCATCTCGTAAATCCGTCTTATTGCCACAAAGCATTATTGGTATTTCTTGGGAAGCACTGGACTATAAAAGTACATTTTTGGGGAATTAACCATCAGCGTCGGTAGCAAAGTTAGTTCAATAAGAATTTATAATGTGAATGTACATAGGCTTTACAGTTCCATAGTATTCTGGGACCCCAGTATATAAAAAGTCATTACCCTCTCTCCCTATACCACTGAGCTGTATGTAGCTCATATACAGCGGTTATATACAGTTATTATATTCAGCTCAGTGCCCTAACCCTAAACTCATAACCCTAACCGTTACCTATCCCTAACCCTGACCTATCCTTATCCCTAACTCTAACCGATCCCTTATCCTAGTAACCTATCCTGATCCATAACCCTAACCATTCCATAACCCTAACCTAGCTATCCCTAACCCTCACCTATACCAAACCCTAACCTATACCAAACCCTAACCTATCCCAAACCCTAACCTATCCCTAACCCTAACATATTCCTTTTCCTAACATATCCCTATCCCTAACCCTAACCCTAACCTATGCCTAACCATAACCTATCCTTAACCCTAACCTAGTGGCTCTTAACCTTTTTTGAGTCATGGACCCCTTTGAGAATCTGGTGAAAGCTATGGACCCCTCCCCAGAAAAATGCACATAATCACATAAACCCAAAACTTTGCATACAATTGTGTTCACGGACTCCTTAAATCCTATCCACGGACCCCCTGAAGCCCAGCCACGGACCCCTCGAAGCCCATCCACAGACCCCTCGAAGCCCATCCACGGACCCCCTGAAGCCCATCCACGGACCCCCTGAAGCCCATCCACGGACCCCCTGAAGCCCATCCACGGACCCCCTGAAGCCCATCCACGGACCCCAAAGAGGTACGTGGACCACATGTTAAGAACCCCAGCCCTAACCTATCCCTAAAATGCACGGTCATAAAGTGGGATTTGACCATTTTTCCATATGCTTTAATGTATAGTGTATACATAAGTCTATTAAGATAGATCACATGACTTACAGTTACAGTGTCCACCCACTCCCGTACGTTCAGGAACGATCGCTCGTACGTGACGTCATATAGCATTAAGACACCGTCCGCTCGTCTGAAGTATGATTTTGCTATACTCCTAAATCTGAAATTGCAGCATTTATGCATCGACGATTAGTTGCCTTCCATTTTAAATACATGCGCGTATTTTTATATGGCAATATATATAATTTGTAACACCATAGGTTCACGTTGCTAAACGCACAGCTGTGCGCAAAGTGTGCAATTGGGAATGTACAGAGCAGATTCAAATTTTTTTGCAGTAAACATTTATAATAGTTTTATCAGTTCACAGACTAGCAGAAAGCCCTATAGCTTCTGCGAGGCTTTGACGGCACACGGACAATTTGCGCCATAGAGCTGTGATAGCCTAGCCATATGCGCAGTTGGGAAATCTCCTTAAAACAAAGCCTGAGTCTCATTAGAAGAGTGATCTATTTCTCATTCCCCGGACGGGTGACAGATGTAGCCTGAAATTTACCTTTCTTGACCAGCGGTGTCCCACAACTGCAGTGCGACTTTGCGTCCGTCAACTTCTAGCGATCTCATTTGAAAGTCCACACCTAAACAGATATATACGGGTTAGAAAATGATTATGCGCGTACACCTTGGGGTTGTCATTATTTTGTCTATCACAACGCGTTTGGTTTAGTGGCGCTTACATATTAAACCGAAAAACTAATTAAGAATAATAGTTTAATTTTTGAACCAAGTATTTTTAAATAACCCGAGAACTCTATATATCATTAAAAGCCAACACGAAAAAACTAGAGAATAGACATCGTTACTGTAATCTATGCAATCACTATAGTCTAATACCTAATGTTGAGTGTATATTGGGATTGAACCGGTCCTGGCAGAAACGCTGGATGAAACTCGATTTGCCGACAGCTGCGTCTCCAGCTAACACGAGCTTGTACATTCGTTCTGGCTCGAACTTCAACTGCGTAGAAAGTTTCCGGTAAGACGACGCGCGTATATTGCACATACCTACAATGCTTCACTTCTATACTATGTACACTTATCGATATGCAATCGATATACAACTATTATTACAATAGTTGGTACCTCTCGTGGGCTGTAATTAGTATACGCGCGTTCGATATTTGTACTTAAAATCTTACCTGTGTAAAGGAAAGGCATAGTTATAGCTGCGACGCTAGGTGAAGTATATAGAACGAATAACAAAACATGAACCTGGTAACTGCAGTGTAATTACGATGCTACATCCCTAACACCATTATCAAACGTAACGACGGCGTATAAGTAACGTGTACTCATCACTAGTGTCTATACCGAGAGATGCATTATTATTTACCAGTAAAGCATTAGGAATAGTTGACACGGTACCTAATAAACCCAGAAGGGGAACCTTGAGAAGGAACTGGGAGAAATTTCGAGGGGGAGAGAGGGGCCGATAGAGCGAGAACATAAAGCAAACAGGTGAGCGAGGGGAAATGGAGAGATAGCAAGAGAGAATGGAGAGCTAGCGAGCGGGAATGGAGAGATAGCAAGAGAGAATGGAGAGATAGCGAAAGGGAATGGAGAGCTAGCGAGAGGGAATGGAGAGATAGCGAGAGAGAGAATGGAGAGCTAGCGAGCGGGAATGGAGAGATAGCAAGAGAGAATGGAGAGATAGCGAAAGGGAATGGAGAGCTAGCGAGAGGGAATGGAGAGCTAGCGAGAGGGAATGGAGAGATAGCGAGAGGAAATAGAGAGCGCGCGCGAGAGAGATGTGTGTGTGAGTGTGTGCGTGCGTGCGTGCCTGCGTGCGTGCGTGCGTGCGTGTATGTGTCTGAGAAGGAAGGAGAGGAGTAAAGAAATGTTTTAGGAAATCGGCTCAAACCTGCGGCTGGATATGAGCGTTTGTCAGAGGATTATAGGAGAGATCCTGTGATCCAGGCGAGCCGGACGATTCGCTTCCTCTCAACGTTGAAATGCCGCTATCTGTTATTAGACAAAATATATATCACACGAATTCTAATGGAACATTCACCTGATCTAGCCAATTCGAAACATAAGCTATTGGTCAGAATTGGTTTTTAAGGTGGTTATTGGATGATGTTTTACGATTATCAATATTGTGTTGATTTCGATCATCTACTACTTTTCGATTTGCAACGGCAGGGTTATCTACAAGGGTGTTAGTTATTTAATTACAATTTTATTATTAAATAGTTATAATATATAAATTATTTAATTATATATTAATGATTTATAATTCATAATTATTAGTCTTATTAGTTATGTAATTTTTATTTTGATCAGAAACGTTAGGGAGGTGATTTATACGGAAATGTGTCTGTAATCTGGCTCACCAGCGAGCTCTTCAACGCTGCTGGCGTTGTGGTGAGTCTCGTTCCACTCGGTGACCCGGCACGACGAGCTGACGGCGTGAGACAGCTCCTCTGACAGCGAACACGGCCCGACACTCCCCATTGATTCACTAAAGACCCGGAGAAAAACACACACGATTCATTCTGGCCTATAGCTTATACGCGTAGTTGTTTCTCTTCTGTATATATGTGCCACATTGTGATCTATGAATACACACCTGGCTTTACTCACCCAGCAGAAAGCGAAGATAACTAGTTACGTATTGAAATTTATTTTCCTGTTCTTATTGATTCGTGAACGATTCGAACCATATCATTCGTTATGTGGTTATGTGCGCGTTATAGAGTTCAACGTACGCACGCCCACAGCCCGGCCCGCCCACATGCACGCACACACGCACACAAGCTCGCCCGCACACACAGGCCTGCCCGCCTGCACGCACGCACTCACACAAGTGCACAGGCACACACATACGCTGGCACATACCCTTCAGAGTCTGTCGAGTTTGCTTTTTCTGTCTCATCTTCTTCCAATTCTTCCGCGATGTCAGAGTTCAACGAGCGGGCGTCGGGGTTGTCCGATGACCGTTTCAACCTGCGCTGTGGCGACGGCGACGCCACGTCTTCGACCAGTCTCGGTAGCGGTAAGCTGGCGTGTAGTGGCAATGTTGTACGGCGTCTGATCTGTAGAGCGACATGAGTGAATATACATCAATTTCAGACAATCCCACAGCACATGTGTAACTTCTAACACGAGTTTTTCGGCACATTTTAATGTGTGCACAGACAAAAACAAAGCACATAGACAGGCCTATAGCGACTTCGTTGATTTTAGATACTATGGTCAACATATCGGTATATGAAAGCGATACGTGATGATTGCGATGACGTCAGCGTTATTTACCGATCTGCGCATCTTGTTTTGCGTGTCTTTTTTATGCAGCTCCATCGTCGATCGTAGATCGTCGTTCACGTCCTGCAGACGGCGATTAGACTCACTGAAATTTGAATATTTTATGCATTTTCGTTACAATATTATATGATGCGCGCGTGTGTGTATGTGCGCGCGTGCGTCTACGCGCATGTGTGTATGTGCGCGCGTGCGTCTACGCGCATGTGTGTATGTGCGCGCGTGCGTCTACGCGCATGTATCTGTTCGTGCATTTGTGTATACGCCCATGTATTTTCGTACGGGTCTGTGCACAGGCACTTGAAGCGTTTCATAGCACTTAAAGAATATATTATATAAGTGTCAGTGTGCACAGTGCAGCCGCGTGAGCAATGGCGGCAGCCAGTGTTTGTTGCAGATGAGCATTTGGACGGAATTTTAAGGAAACTGTCGGCAATAATAGGTGAAAGAGTATAGAAACATTAAGAATTTTGTAGTAGATAGATTACGTATTTATTTAGCATTATATTTTATTGAAACGCTTCAAGTGCCTGTGGGTCTGTGTGCGTTGGACGCGCCTGTGCGTGCGTGTGTGTATGCATTCCGCATGTTCCTGATTTAGACACATCTAGTTGCATTTGTTTGGGAACCTAAAAGATGGTATCAGTTGTTACAAATAGACGTATTGTTACTAGAATCTCAAATACACAATTAGGCGGGCCTTAAACCTATTTTGCAGTTGTGTCGCGTTATGATTTGCGTTTATTATTACCTCCGCCAGGGGCGTAGCGGAGGTTATGTTTTCACCGGCGTGCCATTGAGTGTTGGTTTGTGTGTGTGTGTGTTACCATGCACGTTTCAGTTCACTTCCGCTAGGTGCGCTGTCTGTAGACTTACAAACACGCAACCACAGGCTAAGGGCCAACCACAGTCCTTCCCCACCTGCACGCTCGCACTAATCCGGATCCAATTAATTATTTAATGATTTAATTATTTAATTAATTTTTCCACTTAATTAATTAATTAATTAATACAAAATTTAACATTGAGAGAATTCAGCTGCCTTGGCGGAGGTCTGTGCTCTCCGAGTGCTCTAGTTTTTATAATATAATTCTCTGTATGAAACAAATATGACTGGAATTTTTTACTACAATGCAAAACCG